ACTGGAGCCTCGGTTCGCCGCGCGGGGCTGCACTTACCATGATCTCCTGGCTGACCAGTTCCTCCGTGGACTGCGTCTCGACGGTGAACATTTTGAGGGCGCCGTTCTCGCTGCGGAACAGGAATTCGTTGTCTGCGGGAGGAAGGGAGAAAAAGAGGCTCGGTTTGTTTACAATTTTCTGACTGGGATGGTGGGTGGGTGAGGGGTGGGGAGAGGGGGAGACTTTGCATGTTGCCCGATAAGCAACATGCAACATGTCTTATTCTCACTTTTATAATTACCTACATTACTGTTAGTATAGCCTCACTATTGTCACTATCTTTTAATCATTACCAGTATTATTATTTTATTGATATTACTGTTATTGTTGTCGCTATCATCATAATTTTTGTAATTAGAATCATCATTAATATCATTACCATTATTATTATTATTATTGTTATTATCATTGTTGTTGTTGTTGTTTTTGCTGTTGTTGTTGTTGTTATTACTATGTTCATCGTCAGTATCCTTACTACAATAATTATCAATTTGTTTCATAGACATAATAATTATTATGATAACGTCATTTCCCCCTTCATTTATAAGCTGTTATTACCAAAACCTTCACCCAGCATTTATCATCCCTGTCTTTTGTTGGTCTTTCGCCGCTCGACATTCACAGCCCCCCCCCTGCCCCTTCATCACCCCCCCCCTTGATTATCGTGACTGAATCAAACCCGGCGACGGACGTGACATCAACAGATTTCTTCCTCGACACTGGCTAATCGTTGACATGACAGGCCACGGCACCGGCACGGAGTACTGCATCAACTCCAGAGGTGTTGATCAAAACCTGCCTTTATCAAGTCTTATTGTTTAAACTTACGGCCATTTATTAATGTGTTTTGTGCCTGTAGCTGCTCACGGTTTGTGTGCGTGTGCGTGCGTGCGTGCGTGTGTGTGTGTGTGTGTGTGTGTGTTGTGTGTGTGTGTGTGTGTGTGTGTGTGTGTGTGTGTGTGTGTGTGTGTGTGTGTGTGTGTGTGTTGTGTGTGTGGTGTGTGTTTGTTTGTTTGTTTGTTTGTTTGTTTGTTTGTTGTGTGTGTGTGTGTGTGTGTGTGTGTTTGTTTGTGTTTTTTTTTTTTTTTTGTGTGTGTGTGTGTGTGTGTGTGTGTGCGCGCGCGCGTGTGTTCGTCCTCGTGTCTGCGTGCGCCTGAAGCCAGACTCACCGGAAATCCAGGTTCCGTTGAAGGAGTTCGCGGAGAAAGTCCCATTGAGCACCTCGGCCAGGTCTATGCCTCCGGGAGTGGCCGTGAGCGCCGAGGTGAGAGGGATGGGGCTGCCGTTCCTGTGGGAGACGCGTCCGAGGGTTAACAACTCACTTCATCTCATGCCATAACATCTTTCAAGATCCCCTGAATCATCATCCTATCCCATGTTACTCCTTTTATCATGGCAGCGCCCATAGGAATATCCTAAAAAAAACATCATAGAAAGATCTCGACTCTACTCTTCCACGGAACCTGAGCTGTTCCTACCTGCGTGTGGCGATGACGATCCCGATGGCGGCGGCGACGATGAGCATGACGCCCACGGTCCCCAGCAGGAGGTTCCGCCAGACCCGCGGCCTCGCCAGCCCCACCAACTCCTGAGGGAGGAAAGGCACGGGTTAGGGAGTGTTGGCGGAGGAGGGAGAGGAGTCGCGGTGTTAAGAGGGTTACAAGAAAAACGTGAAGGAGAAAATGGGAAGTGTGCAACCTACGGGTGTCTATTTATGCCGTATGTGTCCGTGCATAAATACATGTGAAATATATATATGCTTGTATATACAGTCATACACGCGCGCGTACACACACAAACACAAACACACACGCACGCGTAGACACACACGCACACACACACACACAAATATATATACATATATATATATGTATATCCGGTATATGAGAAAATGACGTGTCATTGTTTTGCTGCAACTCTGGCCGGAGGACTTGTAAGGGGAGGGAGGGTGAGGAAGCCCCCCCCCCCACAGGGATAAGTACGCCCATCTCGTCTCCTTCGACCATGCCCCCGGGGTCTCTGTGCCCCAAGATGCCGAATCATGGAGGGCAGCGCGAAGGGGGGTATTTGCTTCCTCGCCCGAAGTTCAGGGCAAGGTACCTATAACGTGTTAAGGTCCTTGGTTCAGGGCAGCAGCAGCTCCATTTTCCTGTCGTCCGGAAGTCAGGAAATTATTTGATATTATATTCTTGGTAAGAATGTTTTGCTAATACCTAAAAATTTCAATGTTTTTCTTACGACTTCTTGATTTGTATGAAAGTATATGATGTGAATTACTGTTTAATATTTTGGAAATCTAAATCCTCTTGCATTTCTGATGAACGTGCTTGGAAGCAATAACATCACCAGGCAGCCATGAAGCATGAGGCTCATTCCCAAGGCAGTGGACGGAATTTCAACAAGAATATATATTACGGAAGATTTTAGTCGATCAAAAGGACAGCATGAAAGCTACGACTT